TTTTTTTTTTTTTTTTTTTTTTTTTTTTATCAAGGCAAACCTTTCTTCTCATTTTATACATACTGCTATTTGTGTAGTACGAGGCCTAGTGAGCAAGAAATTCTGAGTCTGTTTTATTAACAGTACTTAAAGAAACCATGGGAATTATCTTCTGTTTTTAAATTCAACCGAAAGCACTATCTTGCAATGTGACATCTTTTACAGTTTTAGCTGTTCAGAACTATAAAACTGATTCCTGGGAGTCTTTAACCTCCTATACCTACCCCACAATAAAAACTGAAGCCATGAAATCAGTTGCCTTTAATATTCAGTAATAGCAACAACATTAAATGTTACTGAAAGACAAACGTACTTACTCTTTTTACAATAGTCAGAACATCTTTATCTTTCTCCTGACACAGTAGTTTTCTTATACATAACTCTAACTGCTGTAGTAAATGTTTGTCTGTGGGAACCTTTAGAGTAGATTTCACTTTTGGCAACAAGTAACAAAGCTTCATTCTATAGGAAAAGGAATAAAGAATTTAACTTTTGATGCAGAACACAGGCAATGATTTCCTTCTATTGTTTGGTAAAAGCTATAGCCAATTTGATTCCACATCATGCCTGCTTTTATTTTGCAGACTAAATCTTAACCTAATTTCTATAAAGTCCTTTGAAAATTAAACAGGCTGTATTATTAGCCATTATCAGGATTAAGAATGAAAAGCAAACCAGAACAGTAACAAAAAGCAAATGAACTGTAAATATTTCCCAGCCTAGAACAAAATATTCTAAAGCACCTCACTGACCAGCAGTGTAAGTCCTATTTGCAAAAATCACTAAGGCCAGACTTTTAAAGGTGTTCAGTATGCAAGGAAGAAGACATGATTTACAAAATTGATTCAATGCTTTTGATTCCCTCATGCACTTCAGTACTTTTAAAAATCAAAGCCTTAGGCACTTAGCAGGAAAAACAGAAAGACAAACACATATCCTATATAATTTGCACTAACTCTCTTTTAAAAGAGACAAACAAAAACCCCTAGAATCAAGAATAGATACTCACACAGTATGGGTGCAGACAGAATTGACAATTTTCACCTGATCTGGCCACAAAAAGCAGTTTATAGCTGTGACCAAACACAAGTGCAAGGCTGCAAACAGCTTAAAACAAGGCCAACTGGGTGAAAATCTGACCCCTCCTTGCATGAGGTATCAGAAAAAGATGTTACAAAATGTAGCATCTTTTGTAACTTGTGTCTGCAGAGCTCCCCCCTTGTGGCTGTTTTCAGAAGAAGAGGGAGGAAAGGGAGCAGAAGGAGTTCAGTTTGTGGGTTTTTCAGCCTCCCCTGGAGCGTGGGCCAGGTGTATTGCAGCCTCCCTCTCCACCCAAACAGAGGTGGTGCGGGGCTCCAATTCACCCACCCCACCCTTCAGCACCAACTGGGGAGCCCCAAGAATAAGTTCCCTCTGCTGCCTTTCCCTCTCCTATTCTGAAAACAGGGAGCAGTGGCAGAGAGCCTGGCCACTGTTATGGGAACCTGGTTGCAGGCTCCCAGCCCCAACTACATTCCCCTGCCCCCTGGAACTAACAGTGAACTTCTGTTTGGTCTGGGCTAACCTTGTAACTCAGATAGTTTTGAAAAAATATTTCTGAGTTACATCAGGGAGCTGCACTTCTCTCTTCCCCCTAAGTAACAGGAGAATGGATAATAGCCTGTTTATCTTTAGTGAACTTCAACCCTGGAACAGACAAAACTTAAACTGATATAAACTTGCACCGATAGCCTGCATCCAGACAAGCATGGATGTTTGGTTCCTCAGAGCCAAGAAGCAGGAGCACCGCTTCCCACTGCTTGTCCCCAGAGAATGCCTGTGCCATACATGCTTGGGTGCACAGCAGCTCACCCCAGGTGGGTAGGGGAGGCTGGGACCAGCAACTGTGCTGGCCCCAGAAGCTTTACCTGAGGTTCTGGGGGCTGGGGAAGCTGCAGCTGTAGTACTCCTGAAGCTGGGAGCCTGTCTGGCAGCCAGAGCACAGTTGCAGAGAGCCAGGCTCGGTACTGCTACTGTTGGTGCTTCTTACCAACACAGCACAGAGGAAGCACCCACCACTGTCACTTCTCCCCACCACAGCAGGAGAGGAAGTACCTGCTGCCACCTCTTTTCCCTGCCACAGCATGGGAGGGAAGCACTGGTTGCTGCTTCTTCTCCCTGCTGTGGCATGGGGGAAGCCCCTGTTACCTGATATCACTGAAGCCACACACGTGGGCCAAATCCAATGACTCTTTGAGCCATAAATTGCTGACCCCGGCATAATCCATAAGGAAGCTACTGCAAATAAAGCTAGGGTATGAATTTAATGAACAATAATTATTCCCCTCACCCCCCCCCATGTGGATACTTAGGGCACCTATAAACAAGTAGCAAGGCTGCTCCAACACACTGTAATTACAGCACATTGGAGCAGACTCTATTAATAGAGTCTGCTGTAGCATGGTAATTACTGCGCTCCAGCAGATTCCCGCATCTCATGTATCAGCATCCCCACGCTGAAAAAAAGGCAACGGGGCACTTTAACTCAAGCTCATTCAACGAGCTTGAGTTAAAGTGCCCCCGCCACAATTTTTCAGCGCAAGGATGCTGATACATGAGATGCTGGAATCTGCTGCTCCTGGACCCACTCGAATTAAAGTGCCCCCTCCCCCACCACTCCCAGAGTACCTGTATAAACGCCCTTAATTCTGTACTTCCAAAGCACACTAAACTAAATGATAAAAAGCACACGTAGTGCAGAATACGTATGTCCATACTGGAAATTAGTGAGGAATATAATTACTTCGCAATAACTGTTTTGAGATATTTCCCTTTATAGACAAGTCCTTAGTCACTTTTGATAGTTTTCCCCTTATGCTCTCCCTATATCATGCATAGCTGAAGAGCTTTATACTGTGATACTATGGCCATGTCTATGTTCCTTCCCTCCAGCCCCAGATCTGCCACTGAGTGCACTCCAGACCAGCAACCAGGGAGCATAAAGAGCTTGGAATCAGGCTTAAGCTCTAGAGTGCCCTTACTTCCAAAGGTGCAATCAGAGATACTCAGGGCCATGTTAACTGCTGGCCTTGGGTGTAACTCAAGAGTGGGAGAGAAGGGCAGGCACTTATTTTCTTGGTGGAGGAGGGAAGCAGTAAGCATTGCCTAACATCTATTCTAAACACACTTTGCCAGATTCAGTCCCAAGAGTGGAGGATAAAAATAGAATTAGAAGGTAAAAGCCTAGGGAATAAAAGATGAAGAGGATGAGAACCATATTGAAAACAGAATTCAAGATCATCCTTGATAGATAAGTGCAATGCTACTGCACTTCAGATGCTCTAATATTTAAGGTGCTTACCTGAGACAATCATATTATATGCCGAATAAAGCTGGTTGACACGATAGTGAAAAGTGAAATATTATATCTATTTAACATAATATTACAGAACATGTAAAATACTTTGAAGCATGTTTTTATTTATTTGTAGCTGTTTAATATTCTCTCTATAACTGTCTCTACTACTTCCTGTAACAGCTCACTATAGTGTATACATATGACTGAAACTAGACAGTATCGAAACACGGCTGCACTACTAAGTTCATCTAATGAATTTACTTGCTCATCTGTTACTATTTTCTATCTTATTCCTTAGGTATTTTAACAGGTTCTCTTTTGCTGCAATTTGTACCTTAAGCAAAGGCTTTCAAATGAGCTGTCCACAATGACTCAGGTTTTGTTATTTTTTATCATCATCAATGTAAGAGTAATTTAAAAACCAGTAATATTTATGAGTTTGTATCATTCCTCCCAATGTGCATTATATTACATTTGTCAACTCTAATTGCATCCATCATCATGTTGCCACTTACCAGTGTTTTATCCTCTTTAATTAAACAATTTTGTCAGCCACTAATTTTGCCATGGCAAAATTCACCTTTTTATCCAGATAAAATACACAGCAAAGATTCATATATGGAATCTGGAGCCACTTCACTCTGAACCTTTTACCATGTTGAAAATTGATATGTTATTCCACACAATTACCACCCCACAGGCCAGCCCTGCACTACTCATGTGGCTTGCAAGATCGAATGGCTGGGCATTACTGACCTAGTATACTAAATAGCCATGACTTTCCTTTACAGGAGCATGCTTTGGAGTCTGTAATGCTTTAAAATCCATGGAAGTCTTAGCTTTGTTACTCAACACAATTAAAGAAGCCATTTCAAATCGCATTCATGTATGCCATGAAAATAAGACAGTTGCTCTTTTCCCATATAAGATATTTGTGCAATTGGTACAATACCTCACATTTGCTACTGGGTCATGTGTAAGCTCAAGCACAGGTAGAAAGAAGTATTTACAAAAGAATGATTTGGAAAATAGTTCCATAATAAATTCACAGGTATCTAAAAAACGGAGTCTATTCCAGTAACTTTTCCCTTGGCCCAGTTCTGGAAAATAAACAAACAATAAGTGAAAGCATTACAAAAGAGTATCTGTAAAGTTTTCGATCTAAGCTAGATTAATTTCTGAGAGTCTGAGAAAGTGATTTGATGGATCATTACAAAGCGAACAAATCTGTCACAAGCCCTATTATAATCAAACTATCTCAAATCCAGTCTCTAAATTGGCACCTGGACAACTGTTAGGTATTCAACTCCAATGGGGCCAGAATTTTACCCTTTAAGTTCGATTAGCCAATGTAAACGTGGAAACTACTAACATAGCTGGTATATGAAACAGAGCCTCACATGCATTTCAGGCCATGTACCACATACCACAAGCTAGTTTCAAACAATATCATTAATAAGGTGCCTTCATCCTTCTAAACTACTTTTGAGGGTCTACAATACAGATCAGAAAGCCTTAGGCTGCTGCTTTTAAATTACTTAAATCCTCTATAAATTATTCATTTGAGAACTTGAGATTCATCACTCTCTAAATTGAAACCTCTAGCAGTCTACTTTCCGATAGTAACCATACTTTGCATAAAGTTGCAGCTTCAGCAATGAAAATATTGGATCCCAGCAGCGTGGACTGCATGATCTTTCAGTAGATTACAAATCGCCTGCAAAGTCTTAGTTGAGTATGTTCCCAGAAATTTTCAATATATTTTAAGTAATGCCTGGTCACAAAATTGATGGTCCTGTATTCCAAGTACTGTCCTCTCATGGATGATACGGGATATAGTATAACTTTAAAAATAATCCACTTTTCATTCAAATATAATTTGCCTTTCAAATAATCAAGAGAAAATGACGACTTACGTTCAATTAATTTCTGAATAACCTCATGCCTCTGTTCCTGTTTGCGATTATAGCGTAAGTAAACACACAGAGTACGAGCAGCTGCTTTTTGAACAGGTAGCACATTCTTAAAAGAAAAAGGAAATACAGTTAAACCTCTTGAGTCAACTATAGGTATTTCTGGAAATACCATCATCTGCAATGACAGAAAAATAAGTGGGAGGCAAGGAATTTGTTGCAATATGTTTAACTGGACCAACTGTATAGGTGGAAGAAATACTGGCCAAGGTTTTGGGCAAAAGGCACCCTTCAAGTTGCTTTGTGCCCAATAACTTTTCCAACATCTCTCCCATCTACACAGTTGGTCCACTGAAATACAGCACAAAAACCCCCTTTGTCCCTCACACATTTTCTGGACCACCATAGCTGTAACAACACTCCACACCACTAGAAAAAGGGGCACAATTTTTTTAAGCCACTGGAAAGCTTGCCATTCTCACTTTAGGACTGAAATGACCAAACATTAAGTAGTCATTCCAGGCAAACAAAATACAGTCACACATGGTAAAGCAAATCAAGAAAAGTAAGCAACCACAGAATCTCTGACAAGCCTAAGTGATTTAAGCTTCTAAGTCCAATTTTCAAAGGAGAATTAAAGCCCAGATCTGCAAAAAACATATAGTGCCTCACTTCTGTTGATTTTCAGTGGAGTCAGGTACCTTAATGCTTTTTCAGAATCTGGGTCTTAAGCGTCTTTGACACTTGAATCTCCCTGATTATTTCTGCAAATAAGACTTGTGCACAAATGTCACCTGAACAGTTTTGAAACTCTTGGCATATATGCTCAGGCTTACCTCTCATTAGGCTTTTTCTGAATGTGTGATGTTTAGCATTTGGCTTTATTTTCTTTCTTGTTCCCTTGCAACATATTCCACAATGTGGAATCTACATTATTTTTTTTTTCATTCTAAGATGAACAGCTGTTATACATGCAGTTGAAATTCTCTGATGTCCACTCAGAGAAAGTACACTTACAAGCAGATTCTTTTAAAATTATACTGCTTTGTAATTCAAACTGTTATCCCTTTTCAGACTTCTGGCAGTCACACAATATTTTTCAAACAGAGCTGGTTGAAAAATTTTTGGTCCCTTACCATTTCAGATCATGTTCTCTCGTTTTAAAAGTCTGAGGGTAGAAACAGACATCAGCTAAACCCCAGCTGATCCACATGATTGGATAAAGCATGGATTGCTTGTTGTCCCACACTGAGCAGGGGTCCAGTGCAGGACAACAGGCAGTGTGTTCCCCTTGCCTGGGAATTCCTTGCATCAGTCACTGATCTGCACATCCTCGCCAGGACTTGTGCTAACCTGTGCCTCATATGAAGGTGCGGATCAGTGCAGATCCTAGTGAGGAGACACAGAAGCCAGAGAATCCCTGGCATCCCATGCCTCCACACCAGAACCCACACTGAAGGACGGGACCTGGCACAGGTCCTAGCATGGACGCAAGGGCTCCAGGAATTTCCCAGGTCCTGTGTCACAGTGGGCCTCCATGCCAGGACCTGTGCCAACCTGGAATTCACAAGGAAGTCCCAGCATGGAAGCAAAGGGCACTGGGAATTCCCCAGCTCCTATACCACGCCAGGAGCTGTGCTGACATGTGCCTTCGTATGAAGCACAAGTCAGTAGTTTCCCTGCTTACCCAAATGCGCCCCCTGGGATCTCCAGGAATGCCTCAAGGTAAGTGGGGAAAGTCAGGGTTTCCACACTTACCTATAAGTATCCTTGGAGATCTTGGGAGCACACCTGGGTAAGCTGGGAAACCCCAACTTTCCTTGCTTAGCCAGATGCATCTCTGGAGATCCTGAGGGCATGTCTCAGTAAGCAAGCAAAATTGAGCAGGCACTCCAAGGGCTCGAGGGGCCCAATTCTGCCCTGGAATTTCTGGGGTGCACAATTTCAAAGTGGCCAGCTGAAGAGCACAAGCAGCTCTGGGCTATCTGCACCCTCCCACCATAAACAAATAAGCTTCCACCACAATGAAGTGGCATAAAGTATTACTAGCTTCTGCTGTGGCCACCTATTTGGGCATTCGTAGCACAGAGAAAGCAAATAGATGTCCCTACCTCTTGCCATGCCACAATGTTTATGATGGCAACCAAGACAATGTCTGTTTCCACACTTAGTGTTTTACTTTGCACCTTTGTCATTCTATGAGCACATATAGACGATAAGGCTAGGGACAGACATTCAAAAAGCCCGAGCCTGAATTGAATCAATCTTTGCAGGTTAGTCTAACCTGGCTAGGCTAAACCAGTTCATAACCATACAGACATCCCCTCTGGACTGAGGAAACTTGGGCACATGCCTGCAGTGGCTCAGGCTAGAACCTGAGGGAGCAGTGCTACAGCGGCCCCCACTTCCCTTCTAGAGTGCTGAGCTGAAGGGGGCGTGGCCAGGCCCCAGCAGGATGCTCCAATTAGGGAGGGGTTCCCTTCCCTCTCCTTGATAACAGAGAATTTATCAGATCTGTTATCAGCATTTATCACCCCATCAGAAAACGAAGTCCCTCTCATTAGTTCAAGCTCTTCTTAAACAACTTTTTGCAAGGAAGAGAACATTCTAAGGAGGGACATTACCTGCTGATTAGCTCCAAAAAGCCCTACAGGCACTGTCCTGTCTGCCTTACACAGACACCTCTCAGCATTAGCTAGCGTATCACATGCTGGCTACTGTCCATGCTTTGAGAGGGAGGGATCCCTACTTGAGCTGCGAGCAGAGAGGTGGGGGGAAGCAGGAGGAAGCCAGGCAGATCATCGTGCCTGCAAGTCTCTGCCGGAACTCCAGCAAGGGAGCACAGGGGAGGGGCCAGCCCTGCTGTGAAGCATAGATCTCCACCCAGTCCAGAGAACATGCCGGGATGCTGGGGGAGTCTGGTTTAACTTAAACCAGCAAGGGGTCTGGGACAGACACTGCATAAACCAGTTTGACCCACATCAGTTAAGTCTGATGCTACATTCAACCAGGTTTATGTCAAACTGGTTTCAGCCATTTTCAAACTGGTTTATGTGCACTGAATGTCTATTCTGTTACAGGTTTAAACCAATTTCTGACCACTGAAACTGGTTTATGTATAATGTCTGTCCCTAGCCTAACAGTCTATTGTGTTTTTAGTTTTTGTGAACAGATGCAAACCAAAATACTTCAATTCAAATATGAAACTGCAGTGACCTGTGAGAGTTGCACTTCAGTTGCCCCAAACCCTAGTTGTTCTCTGTGGTCTAAAAACTCCAACAAGACTTTATTGTCAACAACACACCATGCCCACAGCACTCCCATGATGCACTTTTTCCTCAGACCAAAAGGGAAGGCCCTAGGAAATGTAGTAACACTAAGAATTTTGACCTACAGAAGAGAACAGGAGTACAGCAGGACATGGATCATTTGTATACAGGTGGTTCCATTCCACCTAATTTACAGTGGGTTGCAAAATAAAGGATAAGCCACTCAGCTGATTGTTGCAGCTATTACTTCAAAGGGAGCTGCTTCTACACTCAGTAGAACACAGCTATGGTCCTACATATCTTACAGGAGAAGTGATACCTCTGGAAATAAAAATTCCAGCAAACAGCTGGAGCACCTAGGCAGTCCCAAGGTATTTATGTTGCTACAGCATGCATATAGATATATATAGAGAGAGAATTTGCTGTGAATTTTTTTTCTTGGTTTCCTTTCTGATATTATTTCTCAATGTCAATCTATGTCTGGGTAAATCAAAGTATTTTTCTAAGATGTGGCCCTTCTTTTGCTTAATTCCTTAGGCCATTTTCATATTGCATTCTGTTCTTTGTAACAGCACATTTAATTCTGTGGTAGCACTTTATGAAGTAACTAGATTACAGAGCTGTATATAGACATATGAGAGAGAGAGAGAGAGATGTATGTCCTCATAAATCCTTGGGGCGCGCGCGCGCACACACACACACACACACTTGTTACTCTCTTGCAAAGATGAAGGGCTGTGAACTAGCTGGGGAGATTTTTTAGATATACAGATATCTATATTAGATATATCTATATATCTAAAAAATCTCCCCAGCTAGTTCACAGCCCTTCATCTTTGCAAGAGAATAACAAACCTAACCCTGGAAAGAATCCAGGTTCTACATAATAACTGGACTACAACTTCCATAAGGCATTACAACAGCATATCCACATCAAAATATCTGAAGTTTTGATTTTCATAGAAAAGCTGAAATTTTTGGTTGGAAATGTCTGACAAGATATATTTTCAATAGATGAGCATATTATAAAAGTACTACATTTACCAAAAAAAAATACAGTAAAGTGAGGTCATCTCTGTTTTAAGAAATAGCCATTTACTTTTTATTCAAATATCTCAGGGTCTAAAAATAATAAAAGGCCCCCATCTTCAATTAATGCAACTTTTTACTAAAATCATAAACATCCATGTACCTTAAGTTCCACCCCCAGTAAAGTCAAATTCACTGTTATATTACTTCAGTTTTACACCAATAAAACTGCATTGAAATAAGCAGAGTCTCAGTGGTATAAAACTGAAGCAGTGAGAAATCAGAAACATGAAGTTTGACCACACTTTTCCTGTAATGTTTATCTATAACCTCTACCTTCCCCATCATTATTTTTTTCCTCTTCAAGCTGCAGGAACAGTACTTCCATCTTTGGAAAGCACACACTTATTGTGGATGCTGGCAAGAACAAACCACAATGAAAATGTTTTCTTTTATATTATTCAAACTCTTCCCCTTAAATACTACAATTCTGCAATCTAGTTAATTCATAAATTGCTACCACAGAATTAAATGTGCTGTTACAAAGAACAAAATTCAATACAAAAGTATTTAAGGAATCAAGCAACAGAAGAGCCACATCTCAGAACAACATTTTGATTTACCCAGAAATAGACTGACATTGAGTAATAATATCAGAAAGGAAATCAAGGGAAAAAAAATTCACAGCAACTTCTAAATCTGGGTTTCCCCCCAAATGGTGGGGGATGCTCTCAGCAATTTCTTAGCATTCCATGAAAAAGAATAATTAATAGTCTCATTCAGCTGTATATAGAAGATATTATATGGATTTGAAATAGAATACAATTGATATTGTGTGTATATATATGTACACACACTACGTGTGTATGTGCACACACCATATTTATATTACATTAGTCATTCTGAAGCATCAAAAACAAATATGAAAACAAAATGAGCTTGAGGCTCACATTTGTCATAATGATTGTCAACATTCTGTGCAGAAAACGGTAATAAATCTGATCACTCGATATGATA